CAAGTACTTCCTTTGATAAAATTTACTGGCAACATGTTGCTTTAAAAAGGTTTTGAGGGGTGCCTGGGTGGCTCAGTTAAAGGTCTGCCTTCAGCTCAGGTCATGATCCCAGGGTCCTGGGATTGAGCCCCACATCCGGCTCCCTGCTCAGCGGGAAGCCTGCTTCTCCCTCTCCCTCTGCCTGCCGCTCCCCCTGCTTGTGCTCTCTCTCTCTCTCTGTGTCAAATAAATAAATAAAATCTTTTTAAAAATTTTAGAAAAGGTTTTGAAGTACTATATTTCTTAGTAATAATTTTTTAAATTACTTATTGAGTATAGTTGACACACAGTGTTACATTAGTTTCCGGTGTACAACTTATTGATTTGACATGTTTATACATTATGCTCTGTTCACCTCAAGCATAGCTGCCATCTGTCCTGTTACATTGCTATTACAGTATCTTCCACTGTATTCATTATGCTGTACTGTTTATTCCTGTGACTTATTGAAGTTTATTTTAGGATTTCAGAATAGTAAATATTCTGCTCCCATTGTGTTCAGATTTAAGATCTTATAAATGATAAAGATAAATATTTTCATAGGGCTATGGGGAAAATTTTCCTCTATATATTTTGATTTCCATTTATGAGCAAATTAAGGAAATGACATTTTTGGGGGTTTTAGAAAAAGAGATTGTGTTGTGTACTATTTTGAGTGGGGACAGAACTTTCACTGGCATTTGAACATTTAGGAGGAACACCAGGTTAATAAGATGTGTTGAATAGAATAAACCTGTTGCTATCCATGACTAAAAACATGTTTGAAGTAAAATTGAATCTCTCAGACGGAAAGGCAAACTTATTATTTCCTCCCATAGTACATCTGTTTAGGGCTGGCTGACTAATCCTTTAAGAAGTTGCTGAACTTCTTCCAAGTGCTGAAAACCTAAATCTGTTTTTAAAATAGCTGTATGTAATCTTATCTTCATACGTGTATTTTAAGAGTTTAACAAAAAGGATAATTATTTTTGCAAACTAATGATTTCTTAGGCCCAGACTCCAAATGAGACTTTATATATTTTTAAGGAGTCCTGGGAAAAATAGTCCATAAGAGTGCAGGGTTTTTGGGAAGAGGGACTGGTTTTATGTTTTAATTTTTTTACATTTCATTTTGGTGTTACTATCTCAAATATGTGAGAGTAGGAAGCTCTTTCCTCTGAATTACAATAATAGTTGCAGATGCGTTAGAATCATAGTGGTAGATGCAGTAGAGGCCCTCAGTAAACTCCTTAGCTTATCTGAGGAATCTTGAACTAATAACTTCACCAAACCAGCTATAAAGCTGAAATAAATTACATTGAAAATACATGTCAAAGTGAAATGAACATAGTGTTTTTAAGACTTCTCATTAATTTCTTTGACCTTAACTATTGAATTCAGCATCTGTAAGCAATTTGTTATTTAAATGCCTATGAAAAAAGAAAAAAATAATTCTAGGGAGTGGTCCTTTTGACAGACTTCCCTTATTTTTCTTTGCTGTGGTGATTTCTTCTTCACTTTGCTCCTGCACTTTTCCCTAGTAGTTAATAGGGCAAATTTTTCAAGCCAGACTGGCTGTTTCTACCATCACTACCTTGGGCAAGTTACTTCTTCATGCATCCATTTCTAAATCTGTGAAATAAATACCTACCTCACAGTTTTGTGGTAAAGGTTAATTGAGAAAATAGCTTGCAAATCACTTAGAATACTGTGAAGCATGGAATAGGCATCCAGAACCTCAAAATGTTCACTGTTCTCGTGGTTCTTTTCTCACAGGGCCCTTTCCCCTTTTCTGTTGTTTCTGACATCTCTCCCTTCAACCTCCATGTTCCCAGCTCATGTGCTTCTCTTCTATGATTAGATCAACCAATATTAATACCTTACTACTAGCTATTGCCTAATCAAATTTTACCCTATTTTAGTCATTTCTTAGTATAAACAGTTGCTTTTCCACATGGTTTTCAAAGAATACTTTCAATTTCTGTGTTTTGATTAGATTGACAGATTTTTTTTTTTAATCTCCTTCCCAGGTCAGTTTCCATTAAATGAGTTCTATTCGTTATGTTTAAAAAGAAGGCAAGAAAATACTTATTTAGTTAATGTGGTAAAACTAAATGATTTGCAATGGCTTGAATACCTGTCTTCAAGGTATGTCTTCTAGCACCAATTCTGGCTTGCTAGTGTAGGGGCCAGAATCACTTAACCATAACCATGGCTAAAATGGATAACCCTGTTACAGCTATTAATTTAGACTACAACATGGTGTGTCTTGTATTAGGAGTCTATGGTATGTATTGTTGTCAGCAAAAAATCATTTACAAATTCTTGCTTATGACCTGTCTCTAAGATAAGTCTTTAAACACTTCCTTATGCCATTAATAGAAGACGTGCGACAAGAGGTGTGGCAGGCAGCTGTTTGATCTAGTGAAACTTTTGGTTAAAAACCATGGATATATGAGCCTTACTATTGATATTATATCTTTAAAACTTTTCTATTTTATTTTATTGAGCTAACTGTCCTTTCATGTAAATCTAAGATGTATTTCCTAAGTTACTGTATATTTGGTAATCTCTTTTGTTTCTTCTCTGTATTATACATAATATTTTAAGGTGCTAGTCCTTGCATGGAAGTTTACTTGTGGTTAAGAAAAAATAATTAAGACAGTGAAAAGGATAGTGTCTTTCTTTGTTTTACTTACTTAATCAGTGGGGCTTTTCCTCATCAGGAGCTGTGTGGTTTTGTAGCTCTTAAAACAAACACCAGCATTCCCTAAGAAAGAAGCAGTATTTTGCCTGTTTTATTATATCGTGTATGCTGAGATCTCTTTTTGAGAGAGAAACATATGTTTGGTGAGTTCATGTTTCTTGAAATATACATGGCTCTTCAGACTGGACTCTAATGAAATAGGACTCCCATTTGAAAACCAAAGAGTTAAGGCTACAACAGAGGATAAAAGTGATCAAATGATTAGCCAGGGGCTAATAGAAATTCTGGGAAGAATGACAGATTGTATATTAGAAAGAAATACGATATCATATTCATTGAAGCTTTTACAACTAAAGATCTAAAAGAAATAATAGAAAATTACTGAACGAGATGAATGTCTGAAACTTTAGAAATGCATGTGGTGTTGGATTAATCCAAGCAAGAAAGACTGATGGGCAGATAATAAATTACATTGTATAGGAAGTCTGCATTCCTTGTGTTCAAGGTACTTTTGCCTCCTTTTTTTTCCTTGCAAGATACATTTAAACAGCTCTAGGCCAGTTTCAGAAAATTCAGCTCATGATTTTCATTATACCATATGTGTATGATTCTTTGGGATAGATAAAGTATTATAAACAAAGACCCCAAATCCTTGAGTGGAGGAGGTTAATCTAAACCTTCCTTCTGTTCTGTGCCAAATTGATAGCATTTTTCCTTTTGACAGTATGAACAATACAGAACACCTTTTCATACACAATCAATTGTAATGTCCCCAAACAAAAAGAGTTTGAAGAAGGGTACTGTACTTCTGTTGGGGAAAAAGCTATACTTCAGCAACTGTACTTTGGGGGAAGAATAAGTAGTCACAAACTGGAAAATGTGTATATATGTATTTTCATTGCAGAGAAGTATTAACTGTTCTCAGTTTTATTTTGCCATGGGTACGTCATTTTACTTAAAAAATTATGCATATCTGTTTGTGTATTATTGTCTATCTTCATATAAATTTATATACAAACTAGTATATTTCCTTTTTTTCTTAAGTAGTCACACAGCACTGTAATAATTGTGGGAAAATGTAGCTATGTTTACATATGTTGTTTGAGAAAAACATACTCTTCTTAAACATTTGAGCCTTTTAATCAAGTTTTACCATTCAGACTTGGCATTCATTTGTGTTCTTAGTTTTTGTAGGTCCAAGGAGAAAGTGAAATGTTTCCTGAAATATAAATAAGTAATAAAATTAACGTGCGTACAGCGTATGCTCTTTATTCTTCTTGGATATATTCTTGTTGGTCCTTTTTTAATATATCCTGGGGGGATCTCTGGGGGGAAGAGAGATTATTACTCTGTTAAACTGAAGTTCTGATTCCAATCATCTGGGTTTCTATACACTTAAACATGTAAGCTTAAACTCAAGTATTTACATATAAATGAGTTCTGTATTCTGTAACCGTATTAAAATATTTCCTAATATATGATGGAAGGTTTATAGGATTTGTGTTTTTTTTTTATAGCTACATCAGAAATAGGATCATTATTAAAATGCTATAAAAGCTAGTTCTTTCTTGGATCCTGTCAGATAAAATGTAAGAAACAATGTTAGCTTCAGGATGTGATTGCATAATACAGATGAGCCCTGTTAATAAAATGGAATAAAAGTTGTAAGTTTTGTCCCTTTAATATGCTTAATGGTTTCCATTGAATCTTTTCTAATCAGTTTTAGAAGACAATTTAAAATGTAACTCATGCATTTTGTTTTTATTTTGTAATGTGCATAACGTGTGTTGGGGGCAAGCAGAGAAAGGGAGAGGGAGGGAGGGAGACTTCTGGGGGGCTGTTTCTCTTTAGTAAGAAGAAACAAGTAATCAGAATTATTAGCTGTACTTATTAAACTCCTGTTTTTATATCAGTTGTTGCTAAACTAACTTCTGTTGCCTTGAACAGGGTTGATAACATATACAAATTTGTGCAGAACTTCAAAGAAAATTTCATTTATAAATGGCCTGTAATTAAGACCATTTCTCTTTTACCTAAGTAGTTTGTCTTGGGCTTGAAATGTAAGCAAAGGATACTTAATGAACTACCAGTTATTCTCTACCAAGTTACTTATTTCCATTCCTGGTGTGTATATACCTTTGGGATAGTGCAGTAGGAGTTAATCTTCCACATGTTGTCAAAGCCCTAATGGACATCTGTGTTTCTGTATAGATTATTCTTTAAATGGCTAAAAATTATAGAATTTTAATAGGAACTATTTTTATCCTTTTTGCAGCTATGTCATCTTACCTTTTAATTATTAAAACAGAGCTTCCTGCTGCTATTTCAGAATTTTTGTCTGGAGACCATACTAGGTAAGAGAAAATATTTCATGTTGTATCCATTAATTTGTTAATTCAATAAATATTTATTAGTGATGTGGTAGAATAGGGCAGGACAGGGAGGAACTATCTCTTGCAGAAGAGCAAAGGAGAAATTTCTGGGAATATGAAAGATTGAGGTAGGGAATGGGGGATGGTGAGAAGTTTGGAGAGTAAAGGTCTTAAACAAAGAAGGGGAGTGGATCATACTGCGGTCGCTTCTCCGCAAACCACGGTGATAAAGTTACAACCACACTTGTGAGATTTCTATTCTAAAGCATAGTTTGAAAAAAATAAATGATTTGCAGGGACTTAATGATTTCATTTCCTGGTTTTTAACAATATTGTAAACAATACTAAACCACATTATACTTCCTTTCTCCTTTATTATTTAAAAAATACTGGGTTCTAAAGACTATTGACTCATCTCTTTTTATGGGGAAAAAACAAATTTATTATACTTTTCCTTTCATTGCATAGAAAAAGAAATTTTGAGAAAAATACACTTTAAAAGACAGAATAAATTCTTTTAAGTGTCATCAAGTTATTTCACATAATTTCTAAACCACAATACAAAAACCTATCAGACTTTTAGACGTAAATATTTGGTTGTTTTGCTCTAATATTTGGACTTGTTCTGGACTGCAGGGCAAGTTTTCAAAATTAACTTCTTTAGGTTTTACAGCTTGGCTTCCATGAAAAAGTTCTACTTAGACAACTGCAAATACATATTTATGAGGAAAGTATGGTATACTTTAGATTTGAATAGAAATCAGAAGTCCTTAAAGATTTTTCATCATCAGAAGATACTGTGCCTTTGTGTAGTACTTTACAGTTTTTAGGGTTTCCACATTCATGATCACATTTGATGTTCACAACTGCCTTGCTTTGCTTTTAAGTTTTATGCTCTTAGTGTGGTGAATACGATTGCTATAAGAAAGAGCTATGTGAAATTCACTCTTTCATTTGCTGTAAAAATATTCAGGACAACTTCTGCTACTCAAAAAATTCTATGTGACAAATTTAGTTTGTAGTTTAGGGCTAGGAACTCAAGGCAATGAGAAGTAGAATCAGGAATGTTAGATTAAGAGTAAGGAGACATGTGTTCTATCCATGGCAGTGACCTCAGGAAATTGATTTTACTTCTTCTGGCCATATAACTTAATTTTGAGCCTGAGGTTTCTTCACCTGGCTTAATGGAGGTACCAGTATTACCTTCTTAACAAAGTTGTTGAGATGATCAAATAAGATAATATATACATACATGCTTTTGTAAGCTGATAGCAATAGTGTAAATGTGGAGAATTAAGAAATTTCATAATGTTGAATGTCAAATATACCCTCAATTAAAAACAAAGAAATTTCAATAATAATAACTATATTAAAGGTGGATTTTCTCTGTTTGCTCTGCCAGGGAGGTCAGAGTCGAATTTGACTGTTAATCCTAATAGTTGTCACATGTTTGCCTTTTTCTTGCTCTGGAATTTGGTGACTTCTATTTACATTTTTTTTAATTGTGATATGTCTTTGTGGAAAGAGGGATAACCGTGCATATAAAATTTTAGAAATAAGTAAGGAAGTATGAGACAGAACTGCTATTAAAACTTAGGTCTTCTTTCTCTAAATGTGATGCTTTTACCATAGCTTTCTCTTTAAATCAATTACCAGGGGCTCCTGGGTGGCTCAGTCGTTAGGCGTCTGCCTTTGGCTCGGGTCATGATCCCGGGGTCCTGGGATCGAGCCCTGCGTTGGGCTCCCTGCTCCGTGGGAAGCCTGTTTCTCCCCCTCCCACTCCCCCTGCTTGTGTTCCCTCTCTCGCTGTCTCTCTCTCTCTCTCTCTCTGTCAAATAAATAAAGTCTTTAAAAAAAAATAAAATTAAATAAATCAATTACCATTTATTTTGTTGGGTTTTTTTTTTCTGGTTTGTTTTAAAAAAGTAAAAGTTAACCCCCATCTTACTCATATTAGTAGAAAATTGATTAAAATGGTATTTTTTATATGTCAGAAATGGATTTTTAAAACTATACTTCAAAATACTGTGGCCAGTTGGCATCATCTCTATTTTGATGAAAATTGCACACCTCTTTAATAGCCTCATCTTGTTTTACATGTAATGTACATTTGCTTATTTTGGATTTTAAGAGTTGTAAAAAACATTAAGAGACTATATTAATTGGTTAGAATGCAGATAAAGCATCAATCTTTAAAGCTTAATGCTGGGCACCTGGGTGGCTCAGTCGTTAAGTGTCTGCCTTCAGCTCAGGTCATGATCCCAGGGTCCTGGGATCGAGTCCCACATTGGGCTCCCTGCTCAGTGAGAAGCCTGCTTCTCCCTCTCCCACTTCCCCTGCTTGTGTTCCTACTCTCACTATCTCTGTCAAATAAATAAATAAAATCTTTAAAAATAATAATAAATAAAGCTTAATGCTGTAAAATAATTAAGAAACAAATGTTATGGTAATTGACAACTATCTAGGGCAGTTTATTTCTGAATAAAGTTATATACCTATATTTCTTCCGAGATCAATATGATATTGTTATGCTTTTATTTTAGGGTTTGAGTGACAATAAATTGCACTTAAGGTCTTTCAGGTGTGCTTATTTTCTGTGAGATTTGATGTACCTTTGTGAAATATAAGCCTTTATAAAGATGTTATAAAAAAGAAACCGTATGTTCATAATATTCTAATTTCAACAATTACTGTTAGAAGTCAGAAGCTATAATACTTATCCCAAACTTGTATGAGGCATCTATACTTTTCAGAGAATAATTTATATTTTAAAAATCTATGGCTGTTAAAAGTTGGAAGCTCTCTGTTAACATTTAATGATCTTGTCAGGGGAATATGATTGACACAATTAAGTTGTCTTGCATTTGAGTTACATAATTGATATGGGATGTGAGTAAGATCCTAATTCAGAACATATGATACTCTTGTTCCAGTCTATTCAAGAATGAAATTAAAGCAACTTATAAATAAATCTGGTTTTCATTAAAATATGGAAAAAAGCATCTGCATGCCAAAGCATTTGCAATACAGCTAAGGATTTATACTCTATATTTCATACTTGGAACATTTTTATCATATAGAATTAAATCCACAGATCAAACAAGTTTTCTAGGAAGTATAAAAACTTTTTACTCTAATTCTTTTGGCTTAAAGGAACATATATTTAGATTACAGTAGGAAAACAGGGGTTCTGTTAGGTAATTCATTTTCCCCCCCTTAGGAAAAAATTTAAGGTTAGTATATTCTTCTAAAATCTTTTTTTAATATGTGCTTTTTGAGATTACTTTTTACTGGTTTGTATTTCTCGGGCTGGGTTTAATTTTCCAAGTTTAATCATCTCTGTTCTTTGGAAAATACCCATTGCCAAACACAATTCAGTTGACTGTGACATGCATATCAAATCTAAACTAACTTTAGTGTGCGTTACTAAATTGCCCTGTAGTTGAATGATAAACAAAAGCACTGTATTTACAATTGGCTTTATTAACGTACCTTAAGAAGTATAAGAAATGATTAATAATCAGTAGCCAAGCCAGGGATAGAGAAATTACATTTTGCAATAAAGTTATTTTTATATTAGGAATTTAAAATTCAATCCTGTGACGAGGAGAGTGTAAAGGAAAGCACCATCTTGAGAAAAATGAAGCAGTATCTGAAAAATACCAAAAACTCAAGAGTAACTATTCAAGAGTAGAATAGTGGGTGGCTTAGTCTGTTAAACATCCGACTCTTAGTTTTGGCTCAGGTCATGATCTCAGGCTTGTGAGATGGAGCCCCATGTCTGCTGCTCTCTCTCTCTCTCTCTCTCTCTCTCTCTCTCTCTCCCTCTCTCCCTCTCTCCCTCCCTCTGCCCCTCCCCCTGCTTGTGCGTGCATGTGCTCTCTCTCTCTCTCTCTCTCAAATAAGTAAATCTTAAGAAAAAAAAGAGTGGAGATTATTTCCATTTCTCCTGTCACTAAGATCATTCTCATCCTTTTCTGCTTTTACAGACATATAAGATGAAGTTGTTGAGCCAGATGATCTCTGAGGTCTCTTCTTGCGCTAACATACCATAACTGTGATGCTGGGGGACTGCTGGGAGGAGGTGACGTTGTCTTCAGTCCCACAGTTCAGTGCTTTAGGCAGTCTCATGGCTTCTGGGCATGAGAGAATTGTGGTCTGACATAGTACAGTTATAATAGTATAAGTTATAAAGTTCAGGATTTCAAAATGTTTATTCTTATGCAAGAGAAAAGAGTCTTTGGTCCTAAGGATAAATGTGCTTGTTGCACAACTCCACCTTCATGACGGTAGAACAGCAGAGCTAACAGATGGAATCTGCTTTGGTGCTCCACTGGCCCTTTTTTCTCCTGACACTGCAATTGTCTGGGTCTGATACTGGGTCCCTGAAGGAAGGAGATTTTAGGTGTAGAGCCCTGGGCTTTTTGCCAGCTCCAGAAATTTAGTTGTCAAGTGTCCCTCAATGAGGGATGTTTTGAAGTTCCTATTTTGATACTTATTCAAGAGTGACTAGAAGATGAACCCTGCCTGGTATCATTTTGTATTCTTAATATGTGTGCCCTTAGGTCCTCCTACATACAGGAATTGAGAGGCTTGTGTAAATGCAGAGAGCACAGCTTCAGGTCCATTTCAGTACTAGAAATACTTGTGCACAGGTTTTAGGTTCTGACACAGGCATTTCCTAAAGACACGAATTAGAGTGAAAAAGGGAAAGGTGTGATCAGGGCGCTATTTCTGCTGCTACTCCTTCTTTTGTTCTGTTTAAAAGGAAGTTGTTGGCACCCACCAACATCCACTAAAGATACATTAGAAAAAGGCTTCCTCTGAAACCAGAAATAAAAGAGACACAGCGAATCATGAAGTCCGTGTTAGAAGCCAGGGGCTGAAACCCTTGTAGGGGAAAACCTTTTCTTTCTTTCTTTCTTTTTAAGTTGAGATATAATTAACATATAACACTGTATAAATTTAAGGTGTACAATATG